AGGCTGCAGGCTTGTGCACTGCTGTGGCAAGCTTTATGCCCTGGGAGGCCGAGTCTACGAAGGTGATGGGCGAAATGCATTAAAGTCAGTAGAGTGCTATGATGCCAGGGACAACTGTTGGACAGCAGTCAGTCCTATGCCAGTGGCTATGGAGTTTCACAGTGCCGTAGAGTACAGGGACCGCATCTATGTCCTCCAAGGTGAGTTTTTTTACTGCTTAAGTGAAACTATTCAGTCTCTACAGTGGACTGATGATGACTCTGAGTGCTAATGTAATATTTCTCATTCATTCAAACTTATCAGGAAATGTGTACATGATTTGATATTTATGTGACAAACCTATTTGAGCCAGTATGTTTAAGAAGTTGACCACAGCTCTAAATTACTTTTCTTTTTTTCTGCAGGTGAATATTTCTTTTGCTTTGATCCCCGTAAGGACTATTGGAGTCATCTTGCCCCGATGAGTGTCCCTCGAAGTCAGGGTCTGGCTGCCTTGTATAAGAACTGCATCTACTACATTGCTGGCATCTGCAGGAACCACCAGCGCACCTTCACTGTGGAGGTCTACGACATTGAGAAGAACACATGGAGCCGCAAGAGAGATCTGCCCTTTGACCAAGCCACAAGCCCGTATATAAAGGCCATGCTGCTGCAAGGCAAGCTACACTTGTTTGTACGAGCCACACAGGTCATGGTGGAGGAGCACGTGTTTCGCACCAGCCGCAAGAACTCCCTTTACCAGTACGACGATGAGGCAGACGTATGGACCAAAGTCTATGAGACACCTGACCGCCTCTGGGATCTGGGTCGCCATTTTGAGTGTGTGGTGGCCAAACTTTACCCACAGTGTCTACAGAAAGTGCTTTGAGGTAGCTGGTTTTGTGAACCCAATCTATGAGGCAGAGGGGAGTTGTGTGGTCCTGCCTGCCTTGTGCCTGGTGTGTTACCTTGGGTTTGCACCACAAGGACCATTTTTTGGTTAGGTCTTAAGTCGTTCAAACTTTGGTTTAACATGATCAAAATGGGGGTGCTTTTAAAGATTGCAGTATTTTTTTTCCAGACGGCACCAGCTACCCACACTGATGCTTGTTTAACAAAACCGTACAATGAATCATAAGTGCAATTATTCTATTTTTTGCTTGTTGTTGAGCCATGTTGTTCTATTTTTGTTTTGGATACTTATATAGGTATGGATTTTTACAAATGATGAGCATGCAAATGAGGGTATTGGCAAGATAAAATTGCCCTCTGGAGATATGGATGCTACGTGTCAGCATAAAGTGAAAATCTATATATATAAATAACTATATAAACTATATATTCATACGGGTAAGATGAGTACCATAGCTCATTAGTAGGTTGCTGGCTCCGAGGTGTGTTTGGTTTTTTTTTTTCTATTCTGTGCTCAAGTCTCTCTTCAGCTTATTTTATAGATGAGTTTAAATTTGAAGTGTGCTTGTGATTTACATTACCTTATTGTTTTTGAAGCTTGAAGCTTGTATGATATTTTTATGGCCCCCTCTTCCTTCACATGCGTCAGTGTGTCAAACAATACACTATGTATGGCTGCCGAGCTATTTTTAAGTTTTGTTTGAGAATCCAGTTGCATGGGTGGCTTACACCTCCCACTTTTTTGAGTTGGCGTCCATTTTGTGTCACATGTGAAGACAACTTAAGTGAAATGTTAAAGAGTACTCACTCTCCACATTGGAGAAATAAGGACGGAGTCAAAATTGTGGCAAACACTAAATGGAAAGTTCAGACCAACTAACAGGCTTACCTCAGAAACTTAAGATATATTTGATTAGGAGAAAAGGGACATTTCAGGCCATTGTGTTGATTAAGCAACTGTGTGAAAAGCTCAGTTCAGCATTGAGCTCTGTTGAGGTTGTTTTTTGACGTTTGATTATAATTCTTTGAAAAAGGTTGAAAGAGCCTTCCTCTTAAATGCCAAAAAACGCATTTGAGGTCTTGTTATAATTGATCTGGACATCGGAAATAATTTTGTGGTAGCAATAAGTCATGGAACTGTGATTAGGCTATATTACGTTATATATATATTAACTTTAGTAAAAGTGCATTAATTGTTTTGTGTGCTTGTCTCTGCTAGTGAAAATCACAGTGGTTCCAATAATGATTGTGTGGCTGTTGCATGGGTGCAGGCTTGAAGTGATGCGTAATTTAGTGCAGATAATTTGGGATGCCAATGTGCCTGTGGCTTAAAGAGGGGCATCGGAATCAAAAAACTGTTCCTCCTGATGAAGAATATCTGAAAAGTCTTACTCAGCGTTGCACTGAATCACTCTCCACTTCAGCAGTCCTTAACTGCAAACTTTACGAAGCACCCTCCAGAACAAGCAGACTATATAAACAAGCGAGGGTGGCCTGGGTTGTGTGCTAATTCATCTAACAGCCATGAATCCGTCTTTACACACCATCACATCACAGAGGACACAAATTGTTGGTGCTGCTTTTTTTTTTTTCGACAATCTTGTATAGAAGAATTAATACCACCACTGAGTGGCGTTCCCTGTGAAAGTGTGACATTTTCAGTGCCGTCAATTTCCTCATGCAGGTTCCTGTGTCATCTTTGCACTACACATTTCCTTTGTATTTTATCTTAACGAAGAGTGCCCCTCTATTACGGAAAAAGTTTTAGTAACCACACAGCAATCATCCAAGAGATTTACATGGAAATTAATACCAGAAGAGTCGCATTCAGTAAGGACTAGAGGATATAACTTCTCCAAGAGAAGATCCACTGTTGACTGACTTTGAGCTGATTTTTAATTGACCCAGCTTGAACAGTGCCCTCAGAACAGCCCTCATGAAGTGTGAGAGAAGGTTTGAGCTTCATCCACATGTCTACAGACGGCCATTTGAGAACCAGGAACGGAGAACTCTCAGGATTTCTACTGATACACAGTACTGTATTTAAATGTTTTTGTTATGTGTAATATACTGTACTATAGGTTTGCTGTACTTGCACAGTTTTTTAAACTTCTCTTCAGTTTCTTTTATAACTTGAAAAAAAAATAGATGTGATTTTCTTTTTTTGTTGTCTCCAGTGGCTGTTTTTTCTTTTCTTTATGTAATTACCTATTTAGTTATGGTAGAGTAATCCTGCTCTGTTGAGGAAAAAAATGATTACCCGCACGAGTGATACATTTTGATTTTTCTTTCCCTCTGTTGTACAGTAGTGTTTTCTTTTGTAACATCTCACCGAAACTAAGCATTACAGATCAAGTAACTCCATTGTTACTTCACGTTTCAAACACCAGTCATGTAAACCAACAAGCTAAAAAAGTAACAGTTCAAGAGCTAGTGGCCCCTGGGCTGCAGTACATAGCTCACCCCGGTCATCTACATGCATCGCTTATGGGTGCTATTCCATTGTGTTCTTCATGCATTTTCCTCACATTTAGATTCGCTGTCTGTTTTTGGGTTTATAGTGGTGGCTGAGCTCAACTGTGAAATTCACATTGCACATAATTTGAAAATAAAATGATTAAAGATGACATGTATTCATTTATTCTCCATTGTTGATGCTGTTGTTCTTGTTGCAACCCAGTCAGCAGTCAGTCACTGTAAAGCATGTTGCAGCAGTGTGAGACAGCAGCAGTGTGACCTGTAGGCTGAAGCTCATGCAGAAGAGACTCTCATACTAATGATCCTGAAACTCGTCAAAACGGCGAGGAAACCCCCAGGCCACCCGGGTGACACGTGACCACACGTCAAATAAAGCAGCAGGCTGAAACTTTAGTGTGTAGAGACCAACGGCCTGCTAACGAAGGTAAGGGCTACTCGGGCTTTCTTTAATATATCTATGAGCTTATCCGTCTGTAATGCTTTCTAAGTTTCGGGTTTAACACCGCGGTTCACATATCGATCGTTGTCCACGTGTGAATGATCCCCCCCCCCCCC